ACCAACCGACTCCCACCAATCCCTGACCCTGTCTCTCAAGCACCCTGCTGCATATCTCACCTTCGACCCCTCGGGGCAGAAGCTGGTCAACTGTGCAGACTCAATGTCTGCAATCCACCGTCTGGCCACAATGGGGTCCTTCTTCCCCATGGAAATCCGGCGCACCACTGCCCCTGAAGTCCTTAAAGGACAGTGTGCGTGATCCCGACTGGCTGGTCGCCATGTCGCTCCTGAACGCCCGGAGGCGATCCTCCATCAGCTCGACAATCCCTTTCTTGATAGACCCAAAGATGACCGGGGTCGCATCAAGGATGCCTCTAGTGATCTCGGACGCGATGAACTCGCCTAGCCTCTCATCCACTGGTTCGGAACCTGAGCCTGAACCCGATCCCTCTCCTGAACTTCCAACTGCTGGCCTCGAACGTAGTACCACCATTCTGCAATACATAATGACAACCGTCAGTGATACTGATACATCTAGAGGGATCACACCCATCACAAGTTCCCTGGTCTTGCCTCAGCCTTCCTCGATTCAAGTACGGATCCTCTGCTTTCAGTAGTACGGGCCCATACTACCTTCCACATCTATCCGTACTTTCCTCAAGAACTGCCTCGACTCCACCAAGTCTCTTCTACTACTACTGATCTCTGCTACTCTCATCCTAGGCTTGCCTAGGGGGAAATCTCTGACTCTACCAAAACCAGTCCTCAGCTGCTGAAGGCCTCCTCGTAATGCCAATTAGTCATCACCTGAATACCATCACATGTGACGAGGCTCAGATAATCCTTCGAGTACAAGACTCGTCCCTACAACGGTTAGACTCAGACAAGAGCTGCGCAATAGGGCCAAATCCAGCACTATGATATTATTCAACCATGATCACATGTGACGTGACGTATCCACCTAATGGCTAACTCCCATCACTCAGAGTCCCACATAGTACAAAGCGTGCAACATTCAGACAAAGGAAACGAACTCCTATTCTCATAACAGGAAACTGTACTAGCATACGATGCTAAGCTCATACCATCAGGTATAACCTAAACAGGCTATCCAACTACTGTCTACTCAATACTAGCATGCAATTCTCATAAGCTGAAACACATAAAGCAGGCACATAAGGCATCATTCCTAGATCCTTAGTCCTATTCTAGCATGTTGTTCTACTGAAGCTGATAAACATAACATAAACTTGTATGGGTACTTTGGGGAATACTTACTGGAGCTCGGCCGGTCGCGCACATCACACACTTCGTTCTTTCTCAAAACTCCTTTAACTTATCTTTTAGAAAACCATTTTCTTGTAAAAAGCTTTTAATCCCTCGATTTGAGTCCAGACACCCCCGAGGGTGTGTCCGAATCCCTCAAACCAGGGCTCTGATACCAACTTGTAACATCCCAAAATTTCGAGTCCAAAAATTTCATTTTTAATTAACTGATTATAAAATCATTCATAAGAGAACCATATAAAAGATATCATTCCGTAAATCAATATATCATGTCTGAAAACCCAAGTCATAAAATAGCATCATATCATAGTATAATCCCAGAATATCTCAAGTACGGAAATCAATGCGAGTGTGTATGATGTGCTGCTACCGCGCCAGCTCCTTCCCCTTCGCCGAAGAGGTACTTGAAACCAAAACTATAAACTGTAAGCACGAAGCTTTGTGAGTTCCCCCATCGTACCGCATACCATACAATCACATAACATACATATACTGTCAGGCATATCTGGGTGCCCGACCTACCCCTTCGGTCCTCTCGAACGGATACTGCCTAGCATATCTGGGTGCTGGCCTCCCCTTCGGTCCTCCCCACCGGATACTGCTAGCATACCTGGGTGCTGGCCTCCCCTTCAGTCCTCTTGACCGCATACGGGGGACTATTTCACCCCACTACTACTACCACATAACATGTAACACATAATCATATTCTATCTAGCATGACTGGGTATGACTACCCCCTTCGGCCCTATCGACCGGAAATCTTGGGGACTATCTCCCCTACTGCTAACATCATATCATACTAGCACATAACATAACAGGTAGTAGCAAACCTAGATGAATATCACAAAGACAATCATCTATCATACAACTCCTACTGGTGGGCCGACATTGTGGCCGTAGACCCACCGCTACTGGAAGGTAACTCACCTCGTACGAGTAGCTGCTGATAACCTGCGTGGGAAATCTCTGTCTGCTGCTGCTCCGAAAATCCTCCGACTATAATCCCCACAAAACACTCAGTCAGAATCTGATATCTACTTCTAGGGTAAAATGACTGTTTTACCCCTGACCAAGTCCAAGTCAAGGCCAAAGTCAACTTCCAGTTGACCTGACTCGCCGAGTTGGGCCGCCAACTCGTCGAGTCCTTATCCTTTTAACTGACCTCATCTACGACTCTACTCGTCGAGTTTAGGAATGGCTCGACGAGTTCTCCTTCTATACGAACCTCGAATGAACCTTCATCCGAATCGCCGAGTTGTATGAACAACTAGTCGAGTCCATCTCCATCCTATGAACAAGTCATGTCCTTGACTCGCCGAGTTGTATGAACAACTCGTCGAGTTCATCCTCAAGAGTTGGGATATTCCCTTGGACTCGCCGAGTCTGTTCGTGCACTCGCCGAGTCCTATGAACTCCAAGACTATGGCTTATCCCAAAACGTTAGGTTACTCATCCGGACACTCTAACACCTTTCCAGCACTCCACTAGGTCTCCTTGACCCATAACAGAAAAGGGGAGTCTACCCTCGGACTCGCCGAGTCCCAAGAATGACTCGTCGAGTCGATACAGTCCAAGTCTTATTTCTTCGATTTCTGGCATACAAATCTTGTCCAAAAGGTAGATCTGGGTCCCTAAACTCGATCTAGCACGTAAAGTTACGAACTTTACGTGCATGCATGGGACTTAGAGCCTAAAAGGCTCTAAAAGGGACTCTTGAGTTGCATGGGGGCTTCCATGGGTGCAAAAGCAGCCCCTTTCTGCCTTGTAATTCCTCCATGGACCTAGATTCGAAGCCTCTACCCCCAACTTTGCTTGCAATCATGGTTGGTTACCAAGAATGGCTTATAAAAGCCCTAAATTTCCCCAAAAAGGGATCTAGCAAAAGAACAAGCAAGGTATCGACTTTATACCTTCTGTGAACTGCAAATGGTGCACAAACTTGAACTCCCTTGGTCTCCTCTTGATTCCTCTAGGCTTTTCCTTCTTCTTTGAATTCAAAAATCACCAAAAAGCACCACAAAAGCCTTAGCTCTTATACAAACGGCTAGGGTTTGCTATGGGGGTTTTCTGGAAGCAATAGGGACGAAGGGTGGCTGAATGAGATGTTTAAATAGGGTGCAAACCCTTAGATAAGGGTTTTGTCCAGTCAGAGCCTACTCATCGAGTCTGCAGCCGACTCGACGAGGTCGTCATTTAAATCCTGAATCAAATCTGTTTCTACTCGACGAGTTGGTCCTTCAACTCGCTGAGTCCCAGGCCAAAAATGCAAATTACTTAAATAAAACACGTACCACGTGCTACACTTGCTCTTTCTTCTTTCTTTCTTCCCCGTCATCATTTTTCCTTTATGTTTGGTCTTTGCTTTACAGGCACGTAATGCTCTGTTTCCATGGACTATGTTCTGCGAAAGCGATATCGGGGGAAATTGGAGCACCGGGTGGTACCTTTATACGAGACTCTGCCTCCTCCACATCGCTTGTGTGTCTCTGTTGTGCTGTATCCACAACCCGTGGGGAGCTCTACTGCGTCAGGGAGCCATCCGTTTGTCAATGTTGCCTTGACTCCTGTCGTGATACCTCGCCCGTCTAGCGAGCCGCCCACCGATGGTGTGGTGGATAGTAAGGATGGGATCATTTGCAGCGTCCGTTGAGCAATAGAGAAATGGAAAGCTGCTCAGGCGATGAGTGGGCCAGCGCCCGAAGGCAGTTCTGGTCAGATTAGTCGGCGTGTGGTGCAACGTCGTGGACTTATGCGTTTACTATCTGCTGCGTCGCCACACTCCGAAGATGTGTTAGTGATACCCGATGATGACGTTCAACAGTCTGAGGGTATCGATGGGGCGCCTCAATAGCCCATTGTTCCTGATCCAATTTCTTTGAGTCCTGGTGTTAGTTCTCAGTCTTTAGGGGGTAGCGTTGAGCGGTTACTTCACAAGCCTGCTGCTGCAAAGATCCCTCATGGTGTTCCTATCTTTGTCCCAGGGTGGAATCTTCATCCTGATTCCCGTCTGTCTGTCCGTTCTGCCGCCTTGGATTTTACTCACCATGCCCTTCCTCGTGCTACTGTCGAGGATATGGACTCTATGAACAACGCTGCCCTTGCTCATAACCTTGCTTATGCTGCTGCACAGACCATGACTTACTTAGTTATCGGGTCTCGACGTGTTCAGCGCCTCAGCGACTTGGAGCATGCATACTCTGCCTTGGTGGCTAGTGAATCGAGTCTGAAAGGCTAAGTGACAGATCTTGGAGCTACCGTTCATCGATTGGATCAGCAGAATAAGTCCTTGGCGTCGGAGAAACTGGTGTTGGAGGATGTTCGAAGTGCCTTGGAGGCTCAGGTTGAAACTCTAACTCAAGCGAACGAGGGTTTAATGATATAGAATAAGAGCATGGAGCGTGATCTCGTCGACCGTGAGCGTGAGTTGAAAGTGTTGAAGGCTGGTCGCAGTTGGCTGCTCCAAGTTGGACTTGTACGAGTGATAGATAAGCTTATAGAGCACCCTAAGTTTACTGGGGGTATCAGTTGCATTCGCCACGCGGCATTTGTTGCGGGTGATGAATCAGGCCGGGTTGGTTTAAAAGCGCAAGTTGACGCCGAAACTTATGATCCTTCTGCTAGTGACTCTCGTTCAGATTCATATCTGAAAGACGTTGATAATAAGTTCTTTCAAAATTGACTATTTGTCCCTCTGTTAGACGTGTTCCAGAAATGTCTACGATCGAGTAAATACCTCGGCCTTAGACGATGCTCTTCTGGCTTTTGCGACTATGGACTTTGTCGGTTTACTTGGATTGGGCCAGCTGGATGTAGATGGAGTGAAGGCGTTGTGTGTGTTTTATGAAGGTGATGATGTGGGAACAGGTTTTATTGAAGGAAACGTGGTTGGAGAGGGTGGAGTTGGTGCTGGTGGGTTTGGAGATGATGAGGTTGGAACTAGTGCAGGTGGTGATGGTGTCTGAAATTGTTTGGAGCTGCCCTTCGGGGTGTGAAAAAATTTGACGAAGCTTGGTTTTATTTTGTTTTGTTTTTGAAACAATTTGTGGCCTCTAAGGCCTTTCATCTTGTTATGTTGGATTACTCTAGTTGCTTTTGTTTTTGGACAAATTGTGGCCTCTAAGGCTTTTACGTCAACAGTTATGAAACAATGGTGATTTTGTTTGTTTACTTTGTGTTCCTTGTTTGAAATTCCAAGCGTGTCAAACCTCCTTCGCAGGTTTTGTTGTTTATTATGACTCTACTTTGTCGTTATGTTGTGTGTGCATGTGGATCCACTAAGTATCCTCTGTGTTATGTTTTTATCATACATACTCATTGTGCACAATATATCAAGACTAGTGCATTTTCTTTTATTTATGTAATTCTGATACATGCCAGTTTTCTGCACTACAATTTCGTATCAAACTGCTCTAAGCGTTCGTCTGTTGTTCCAGGTGATCAGTCCAGCCAAGGGATATCTCGATATCTTCCCTTCTGCATAGGGGCTTGTGGTCTTTCCTCAAAAGTGAAACTTTGTGAAGTTCCTTGCGTTCCACACTCTTGGTATTTGTCTTCCTTCAGGTGCTTCCAGAAAATATGACCCGTTGCGGTGTGCTTCCACCACCTTGTATGGTCCCTCCCATGTCTGGCTTAATTTTCCACGGGGCTATGCGTGGCTGGCTTCGTTCTTCCGTAGAACGTAATCCCCGACCCGGAAGGCTTTATCCTTCACTCGCTGGTTATAGTAGATTTCTGTTATTTTATTGTAGGCGGCTTGGCGCATGCTCGAGCGTTCCCGCCGTTCTTCCAGGAAGTCTAGGCTTTCGCATAGGTTCTCATCGTTTGCTTGCTTTTGGCAGTATTCTGTCCGTATTGAACCTATCATTATTTCCGCAGGTAACATTGCCTCAGCTCCATAGGCCAAACTAAATGGCGTTTCCTTTGTGCTGGTCCGTGGTGTGGTTCGATATGACCAAAGGACTTCCGGTAGCTCATCTACCCAATTACCTTTTGCTTTGCCCAACCGCTTCTTAATTTCGTGCACCAGCGTCCTGTTAGACACCTCTGTTTGTCTGTTGGCTTGAGGGTGTGCTACGGACGTGAACGTTTGCTCAATCCCTCTTTCAACACACTAGTTTCTGAAAGGGTTCTCAGCGAATTGTAGCTCGTTATCATTGACCAAAACTTTGGGTGTCCCAAACCTCGTTATAATGTTCTTCCACATGAATTTAATCATTTGTTTTCCCGTGATGCATGCTAGTGGTTCGGATTCTATCCATTTCGTGAAATAGTTGATTGTCACGACCAGGAACTTTACCTTCCCCGGCGCCTCTGGGAAAGGACCGACGATGTCGATTCCCCATTGATAGAAGGGCCACAAACTGACTATGCTTGTCATCTTAGTTGGGGGTACGCCTTGTGCCGGTGAGAAGGTTTGGTATTCCATGCACGTCCGGGTTAACGCGGCAGCATCCAGATATATATCCGACCATGAAAGTCCCATGCGCACTACCTTGCTTGTGAGTGCCCACACTCCTTCGTGTGCTCCGGCTGATCCTGCGTGGGCTTCGTTAAGGGCCTTTTTCCCTAACTCGCCTTCTATGCATTTGAGCCACGGGGCCATGTGGCCTTTTCTATACAGCGTTCCTCCCAGGATCGCGTATTGAGGGGCTTGTATCCTTGTTTTTCGTGCTTCTCCGTGGCCGTCGGGAAGTATGTCATGTTGCAAGTAGTCTATGATGGGTGTCATCTAGTTAGGTTGTGTCGTGGACAGAGAATCGACTTGTCGTTCGTCAATACTCCTTTCTTTTAGTACTTCTACTGATACCTCCTTAGAGAGATGTCCAAAACATGTTGATACGAGCTTGCTAAGGGCATCTGCGCGTCTATTATTTCCCCTCGAGATCTGTTTTATGGCGAAGCTCTTGAGAGAACTTGTGATGCGATGAACTGCTTTGACGTACCTTTCCATCCGTTTATCCTTTACTTCAAATTCTCCCGTGATCTGGTTGGCTGCTAGGCATGAGTCGGTCAGGGCTACGACTCTCTCCGCTCCCATTTTTACTGCCAATCTAAGGCCGACTAACAAGGCTTCGTATTCAGCTTCGTTGTTGGAGGTGTAGAAGTCAAAGCGTAAAGCATATGTGATTTCTTCACCCGTGGGGCTATACAAGATTATTACCGCGCCTGAGCCTTCCTTGCTGGAGGCTCCGTCCGTGTAGAGGGTCCACTGCTGGTTGATCTTTTCTTCCTGGTGTCTCTGCTTGCTCGTGTCGGTTATTTCCTGTTGGAGTTCCCCCGAGATTTCCAACAAGAAATCTGCCAGTGCTTGCCCTTTGATGCTTATCCTGGGATGGTAGCTAATGTCATGCTCCCCTAACTCAATGGCCCATTTCGCGAGGCGCCCATATGTCTCTGGCTTCAGGAGTACTTGCTTTATTGGGCAACTGGTTAATACCTCTATCTGGTGAGCCTGGAAATACCAGCAGAGTCATCGTGCCGCGTAGATTAAAGCGAGCACAAACTTTTCGATGATTGGGTAATTAACTTCTGGTCCCTACAGGGCCCGAATCACAAAGTAGATCGGGAGTTTCCTCCCTTGTCTTTCGACCACTAGTACCGACGAAATGGCCTCCTTTGATGCGGACAGGTATACTTGCAGCGTCTTGCCTGGTACTGGGCTGGCTAGAGTGGGAAGCGCGTGTAGTGCCTTTTTTATCTCCTGTAGGGCGGAATCGGCCTCCGGTGGCCATCGGAAGTTGTTCTTTTCTATACATCCCTTATGCGTGTGGAATAGGGGCATGGCTTTCTCGGCTGACTTAGAGATGAATCGATTGAGCGTCGTTAGCTTTCCGTTTAGCCCTTGGGCGTCCTTTAGCGTGCTTGGCGAGGGTGTCTCTTCGAGCTCGCTAATTTTGGCTGGGCTTGGTTGGATTCCCTCCTTTTTCATGTAATACCCCAGGTACTGCCCCTCTTCTACCCCAAAGGTGCATTTTGCTGGGTTTAGCTTCATCTTAGCTTTCTCCAAGGTTTGTAGTGTCTCCTCCACATCGCGTAGTAACTTCCTCTCGTCTGGGCTCTTGATGACCATATCGTCGACATAGACTTCGATATTTCTGCCAATTTGATTGGCGAACAGGGAGTCGACTAGTCGCTGGTAAATTGCCCCGGCGTTCTTCAATCCGTACGGCATATTTGTGTAGCAGAAAGCATCGTGATCCGTATAAATGGCCGTTTTCTCTTCGTCATTTTTGCTCATCAGGATTTGGTGATATCCCTTGTACGTGTCCAAGAAGCACTTCCATTGGAAACTTTGTATGGATCCACCTTATCGTATATCTCCGGTAGCGAGTAGCAATCCTTGGGACATGATTTATTGAGATCCGAATAATCGATACACATGCGCCAGCTACCATCGTGCTTCTTTACCATTACTGGGTTGGCGATCCATGTGAGGAAAATTGCTTCCCTGAGGATCCCTACGCTGGTCAACTTGGCCATTTATGCGTTAATTGCCTTGTTTCGATCTCCTCCTTGGACTCACTTCTTCTGCTTTACTTCTTTGGCTCATGTTTTTATCATTATCTTGTGTTCTATAATCCCCCGATCGACCCCCACCATGTCTGTGGGTGTCCAGGCAAACATGTGATTATATTTCTGCAGCAGTCGAACCAACGCTTGCTTGTTGCCATGGGACGAGCCGTTCCCACGTTCACTTGCTGGTCTGGATACTCCCTGTTGATTACTCCCCCCCCCACTCGACGGGTCTGCCTTCGGTCTCTTGGCTTCGGCTGAGATGTCTTTTGGTTGCATGATTTCATAGCACTTGAGCTCCCTTGGGGGTGTGGCGAGGATTGTCCCTGCACCCCGAATCGTACTGAACTTTACTATTCCATGGATTGTTGACAAGATTGCTCCAAACTTTAGTAAGGTTGTTCGTCCAAATATGACGTTGTGTTCGGATGGGTGCCGTATGACCACAAAATCTACAAGAGCGGTCCGTTGTTTGGTCTTGTCCTGACTGGTTAATGTAAACGGTAAGTGGACCGTACCTAATGGCCACAGGCTATGTCCTGTGAATCCTGTGAGCTGTCCTGTGGCTGGCCTTAGTCCTTCCTTCCATGCGCCTGGCAGCAAACGGAAGCAATGCTCGTAGATGATGTCTGCGGAGCTTCCCGTGTCGACATATACCCGATGGATCATGATGTCTCGAATGGATCCCTGGATGACTAGGGGGTTGTCCCATTTCCAACCGGCTGGACTTGGGTTGGTCACGGAGAACATCAACCTCTGCATGGTTTCCGCAATGCTGCGTACGTTGGTCATATGCTCTGTTCTCCCCCTTTTATGGTTGATCGCGAGGATTTCCTGTTTGTAATTTGCTTTCCCAGTGTCGTCCTTGAAATTTTCTGCGTCGAAGTTGGCCCGCAGGCTTTTGGCGATTTCTTTTACGTTTCCCTTCAATTGCTTCTCCTCTATTTCCTTCTTGAGGACCGAGCAGTTGACCGTATCATGTATCCTACTATTATGGTATTCGCAATACCGCGTCTTAGTGCCTTTCGCTGCTGCTTTTTCGGTGACGGTGTATACTTCTGATCGTCTTTCCCGCCTCTCGTCTTTGAAGAAAGGTGTGAAACGTCCTTGCGATCGTCTATCCCGTCCCGAGAACCTAAATCCTCCCCGGGAATCGTGGTGGGGAGTGAACTGGTGGTGTCGCCTCCTATTTGAGGAAGACATGGCATTGAGGTATGCTTGCTTCGACGCTTCGCCCTCTTCTTGGTGTAAGAATCATTCCACTCGTTCCTTTAGTTCTTCCCTTGTCTGGGGTTGTTTGCCCATGAACTTCTGAGATAGCGAACCTGGCAGTAATCCCAAGGTGAACGCTCCCGCGATCAACCCCTCATCATGCCCTGGGACGTATAATGTTGCCTTGGTGAACCTGGTGAAATAGTCCTTGACTGTCTCCTCCTCCCTTTGCTTACATCCAATGATGGAATGGCAATCACCTTTGTACTTACGAAGTTGCATGAAGTTGGTTAGAAAGAGGTATTTTAACTAGCTGAAGTTGCTAATGCTGGCTGGACGTAGTGTCTTGAACCATGTTCCTGTGTTGCCGTCTAGGGTGGTAGGAAAACATGTGCACCAGAATCGATCGTCTAGCTTGAGGGATGTCATGGTCCACTCATATGTGTCGATGTGGCTGTCCGGATCTGTGGTGTCGTCGTACGTTTTGAGGTGTGGTAGTCTGGCGGTGTTGGGGATTTCGTATTCCAACAGTTCTTTGACAAACGGCGACGTGACGCTTCGGGAAAGGCAATCTTGGTTTGGTGTCCGTTGAACAAAGCGGTACCCCGGTTGTTGCATTGCCAAGAAGGGTTGCACTAGCATGTTGTTGCAGGCAGTGAGGTCTGGCATTGCTGGGTTGTAGAAATTTGACGGCTGAAACGGAATGGGGAGTGTTTGAGCCATGGGTATTTGTTGGTAAGGCGTGAATGGCGGTGCT